CCCTTGCTGGGACCGTCGCCGCCCTTACTGGGGTCATTGCCGCCCTTACTGGGGTCGTCACCACCTTTACCTGGACCGTCGCCGCCCTTGCTCGGGTCAGAGTCGCTGTCGCCACCGCTAGAGGAGCTACTGTTGCCAGACTGCTTGGCAAAGCCAATGCGGTTCTTTTCCATATCAAACACCACCGATGTCGCCATGAAGAACGAGTCACCCACAATCCAAGCATCCATAGGCAAGCCACTCTGACCGACCACAGTGAAGACACATTTACCCTGCTGCTTACCATAACGAGTCTGGTCACGACCCAACTGGAACTGCTTACCACTCACAGTGAACGTCAATTTCGGCGTCCTGCTGCAGTCAAACAGCGCAAACAGCTGGTCGCCCTGCGAGAACGGCGTGAGTTCAGGCGATTGCGAGAACAGACGGCGAACCTGGTCCATCGGACCCGAAATGATGGTTGAACCCGTATCCCAGATCGCCTTGATCTTTTGTCCATTCACTTCAGCGTCAGTGAGCCAGAAGCCTTGTCCCGGGTCCACATTGGCCCACGTCAACGAGTCGCTGAACTTCGACTTGTCCACACCGCCAAGGTGCAACGACGAGCCAGAGCCGGCCTTGATGGTGAACTGGAACACACCCTGCGCCACCTTCTTCTGCTTCATGAGCGACACAAAGAAAGGCGGGTTCTCCTTCGGGAACGCCTGGATGGCCGGGAACGCCATACCCGAAATACCCTGGTTGGGGTCTTCACCACGCAGAAATTCTACATCGGAGCGACCGATGGCGACATTCTCAGCACTAAGGCCACCAATAGAGAACTTGTCTGTGAAGATTGTACCGGTTGCCTTGGTTCCGTCACCATACGCTGTCTGGAACGGCTTGTGCGTGTTCTTCGACGACTGGGACTTGTGCGGGTCATAGGCAGTCGGGTTCACAAGCGTGTCCGCAGAACCTGTATCAAAGTCCACGTACATTTTTTGGCCACCGAATTCCACCTGACCAGCCCACATGAGCCCCTTGTTGATATCCTTTAGCTCAATTTCGCCAGATTGATCGCCACGCTTGTCCAGCAACCCTTTGACATGGCGGAACAGGGGATGATGATCACCTGTGTTATTACGGAAGTTTTCCAACGAAACGGCCAGCCTCTTGTTGATATACTTCAGGTGCTTCTTCAACCCCTCGATATCAAGCTCATCGTTTTTGGCGATCAGCGTGTGCCGACGTTCCAAAGAAATAGGCTGTGGGCTAACGCGGCCAGCTGCCACATAACCAGATGCAATAGCTAGCCCAAGAGCGACTTGAAGTGGGATCTGCATAGCCAAAAGCCAAGCAAGAAGCTTCTTGAAGGAGTGAGGTAGTGGTTCTCATGCTCGAGATACCTAGGTTTATATGCCTTCGAGATGAATGTAGGGACGAAGCGCGCGCGCACGTTTCAAGTCAAAGCGTCACAACCCTGCATGGCGGCGGTGCTATTGAATGAGTGTTTCTGAGCTATTGTACGGTTTGTCATGATCTCATCAGGATGGTAGACTTTTGTAACCGTGGTGCTTTGACTCCTTCTCATTTACCTGTCGCCAATCATGGCTAGTGTCTGGGGAACATGCTTACCTAAGGATCTCGACATGCCTGAATCACACTTGTGCCATGCATTACAGCAGCCCTCTTTCGTCTGCAGCATCACTACAATCGTCTGTGCATTAGGGACATAAAGCCATGATACCAAATCAGGGACATGCCGACGTAAAATTATTTTTTTTAGGTCCTTTGGGGACATACTCGCACCAAGCGGCGACGAAATTTGACTCGAATCAGGAGGCTAGTGCCTCTCCTGCCGAATCCATTTGTCAAGCTGTGTCCGTTAGCGTTGAAAGGATACAGACAGGACAACCAACTATTGCCATTCTTCCTGTGGAAAATTCATACCTGGGTGTGGTCCAGGAATGCTTGGACTGTTTAGCTTCTCCCTCTCAATTTTCACCCAAGGGGCTTACTATTGTCGATGAAGTCGATATTGCCGTGGCACATGCCCTTATTGTGACGCCAGAAGCAGTCGCCATGGAAGATCCTTACTCACATATCCAAGAAGTATGCAGTCACCCTCAGGTAAGCTATTTCAGTATTAACTCTTTCAGGCCTTAGGACAATGTGCACAATTTCTTGATCAGCATATACCACATGCCAAGCGCATCGAACTGCATTCTACTGCTGAAGCTGTACAAAAGCTGTCTATGTCCCAGCAGTCCACTATGGCTGCCATAGGCTCTGAAATTTCTGCCGACCTTTTCCATTTGCCTATTCTGGCACGGAGTATCCAGGCGTTACGAGGTATGTATTAGGCATCTAACTGTAGACAATGTAACTCGGTTTATTGTGGCTGCTGGGCCCTACAATGATACCCAAGTGCAGGCATTCTTGGCACATCTCCATTCTGCATCGAACCCCACATCCGGTCGCATGCGTGCTCTCTTTCGAGTTCAAGTGCCTGTGGAGTCTTATCCTGACATAGAAGCTGCCTGTGCTACTTTCACACAAGTGTTATCGCAGGGATCGTCGTTACCTTGGACGCTCTATGGGAAAGTCCATTATCGTGACCCTTCGTTTGGGTCGACGTTTTCAGGTCAAACATTTGCCTTTGAGATGGAATCCCCTCCCATGTCGTGTACATATGAAGCCTTCGACATGTCCGAGGCCCCTCTGCATGCACTGCGTGCGGCATTGAATGTGCCAGGCGACTCTACGCTTGAGTGCCTCGGTCTTTGGCCAGTGCCTCCCTTGTAGAAAAGAATGAGATTGGGTTTCCCTATGTTTTATCCTACCATTCTCTCGAATACATAATTGACTGCATGGTTAGCATTTGCTTCGACAAAGAAAAAAAGAGGCAAGCACTCAGGTAGAGCTAATAACTTCCAGGTCTTTCGCACAATGGGTCTCGAGTCCACTGTACTCCCTAAGTATAGGTATACAACTTTTTCATCTTTGTGCTGCTCATTCTGGTCCAAATACATACCCACTAGTGGTTCTCCGCGTACACGCGCAGCTACCGTCACATCGAAGGAATGGAGAGTGATGTTGTTGCCAACCTTTTTGTCCTCCACCACGTCGCACATCACGTGGATGTGCACACGCGCGGTGGAATCCTTGGCTCGGGTTTGTACCACAACGTAGCATCGCACGTGTCACTATGGCTGCAGTCCCTGCCAACTCATCGAGTGCTCAAGGTCTCGATGCCTCGCTTGCTGGTCATGATGAGGAGCAAATTCGACTGATGGAGGAGCGCTGCATTGTGACGGACAATGACGATAATATGCTCCGTGACGGTAGCAAGAAGGAGTGTATGTATTTTTGAGTGTGCTCATGTCGCAGGCCACCTTATGGCCAACATTGAAAAGGGCCTCTTGCACCGTGCCTTCTCCGTGTTTTTGTTTGACCCTAGCACGGGCAAGTTGCTTCTTCAGAAGCGCGCGCCTGAAAAAATCACCTTCCCTAATATGTGGACCAACACCTGTTGCTCGCATCCTCTGGCCATCCAGTCGGAGATGCATGGCCGTGAAGGTGCAAAGAAGGCGGCGCAGCGTAAGATGGAGCACGAGCTGGGTATTCCAGCTGATCAAGTGCCTCTGGACAAGTTCCAGTTCCTGACTCGTATTCATTACTTGGCTCCTGGTGATGGCCCATGGGGCGAGCATGAGAGTAGGTATTCCACGTTACACTAACAGTCTAGTCGACTACATCTTTTTCATTACCGCCGAGACGACGTTGAAGCTCAATGAAAATGAAGTGTGTGACACTAAGTGGGTGTCGATGGACGAGCTGAAGCAGCTCATGACGGAACTGGATCGTACGTGGTGGTATGATGATTAACAGTCTAGCGAGTTCATTCACACCTTGGTTCAAATTGATTGTGAAAGCATTCCTATTCCCCCTTTGGCAAGACCTCCTGGATCGCAAGGATGCGGCGACGGGCCACGTCAATGCTCTCGATCTGGCCGACCATGCGAATGACACTATTCACCGGTTGTAGACGACCTGTATAAATAATCTTAAAGCGAGTCCTCTCCCGCCTGCGGGTCAGGTTGTGCCGCTGTGTTATGCACTTGGAGCCATGCCTGTGGTTAGCGCCGTAGCACGTACATCTGTCTCCCAAATAGGCCGTCGGGTATCGTTGGTCGAGATCTTTTGTGCCTTGGCGAAATTCACAGAAATCACATTCTGGCATTAGCATATCTGGACATACCCCATGAAACTCATTCAAATTCATGTTATCAATGGCATCTTCTGCATCTTCTTCCTCATTGTACGTGATAAAGGCGTAGCCTCGATGCTTTGTCGCTGCGGGTCAGTTGACGACGCACGTACGCTGATCCGTCTCTTTAGGGAGCTGCACATCACTGATATCGCCAAAGGTACCAAAGGAACTCAATAAAGTCTCTTCGTTGACCTGCTCAGCCAAACCGCCTACCAGAGTCAGTCGTCATGTCCCTTGTACGTACCGATATACACGGTCTTTTTGGACATGGTGGTGCGGCGAAAGGGGCATGTGGAGGAAAGAGGCACGTTTGTGGACGTGCCCTCTCTGTTCTCTACGACACTTTCATGCATGGCTGCGGGGAGGCGAGCCTTGGCGAAATGGTGTGAAGCGCAAGGCATATATATCGACCCACGGCTTGATATTGTGAATGTATCGGATACAGATACCGAGTGGGCATCCTCTCCTGGCAGTATGGCTGTGACGGCATGTCGACCCATTCCTGCAGGCGATGTGGTGGTACGCATCCCATGTCACGCTCTACTCTGTGCCCGTACCAGCGCCTTGCATGCGTACCCAGCCTTTCAGCAACTGCTATCGTCCGAGAAACTCTCGCTGTGTTTAGCGTTGTGTGTCTTGTACGAGCAATCCCTTGGCGCCCAATCGTACTTTGCGCCGTATGTCCACAGTTTCTCGCCTGTATCTCTGCCGTTTCAATGGACGTCTGCGTGGGCGGGGAATGTATGGTTCCGAGGCACGGAGGCATCGCGCCTTGTGAAGCGGCGCGAGTATGCATGGCACCAAGGGTCCGGCGCAACGCCAGGCATGTGCTATGTAAGTACCGTGGGCACTGACCCAAGTCGGAGCTTCAATCTTTTTGGGACCGCGTAGGCCATGCCTGCCTGCAGCGCGTTGCAGCGCGGCCATGGCGCTCTGCTGACTTTATCCAGGCGTATGCACATGTCTCCAGTCGCGCATTTGTGATTGATACCTACCATGCGTACGTCGATCGATGCTAACCGCAGGCTTTGCATGGTGCCTGTAGCCGACCTATTTAATCACTCGGCCGTGAATACGGTGCAAGTGGAATCGGATATGGATGTGTGCATGACATGCGGCTCAAGCGAGCATACACGCGCAGGTCATACTGATACAGCCCACGCACGACAAACCGTGGACCTTGTCTGTGTTGACACTATGGAAGCGGGGGACGAAGCGTTCAACTCCTACGGTGAGCTGGGCAATGCTGAGCTGCTATGTCAGTACGGCTTTGTGCTCGAAACGAAGAGTGGCTGGGAGCGATGCAGCTGGGATCCAAGGGATCCTACGGAGCAGGCTGAACTTGTCCAAGCCTTGGGCCTGCCCACCTCGACGATTTGGCGCCAATGCGAGCGACTGGAGCCGGCTGAGCTGGCCGATGCCCAACGTGCTCAGAGCGACGATGGGCTTCCGCCTGCCCTTCTCGATGCGCATGGGCATGTGCTGTACGATTTCGCGCCTGTGTCTCATGTGCATGTATCCGATACCCAGTCCCCATTCTTCGTGGATGCTATGGGCCGCGTAAGTTGGCCCCTTTGGCGTTTGTGCCTGGGCTTGGCGCTGTGCCCAGACACGTACGCCGAAGAGATTGTGTCCCAGGTTCTTCTGGTACTACATACCTCCGAGGATGTGCCTTGTCTCGAGCAGTCGCTTGCATGGTGGATGCGCGACCCATCGTCCCCTCTGGACCAGCGTGTCCAGCGAGCCTTGGCCATGATTGCACGATTGTGCGAAGCTCGCTTGCAAGGCTTGTACATTTCGTCGCACGAAGACGAAGCCAATGCTTTATGGCAGGTACGTCTTCCCCTTCTTCTCACCTAGTCCGATACCCCCGCACTACGTAGTGTTCTGCAGCATGCCTGGCAGGATCTGGATCTCCTGCGTTCCTGCCTCGCACGGTATGCCATGCCCTCCACGTGATTCCGTAGCGCCACCACGACGCGCCCCTTTTTTCTTCGTGGCCATCGTTGGATGCGAGGCCTGGCTGTGCAGCTGTCACGGTCGCTTGTCATCCACGTACGTCAGCAGCATACCCTTCAGCAGCACGTCTTTATGAGCGCTCGCGAGCGATACGGCGATTGGAGTCGCAATCAGCTGTTGCGACGTATCGCGCAGCTTGAAGACCGAGCCGCGTCCCTGGGCCAGTCTGTGCCCCCACCAGAGGAGGTGTCGTCGTCATCCACGCCTGCGACTACCAAGAAACCGCGGCCATTCCATATGGAGGCGCAGCCATGCCGCAAAATCGCGTTGCGTTTTTGTTACGATGGCGGCTCGTACTCGGGCCTCGCAGCGCAAACGTCGCAGTCCACGCCATTGCCCACAGTCGAAGAGACGATATGGGATGCTCTATGTACCGCGCGCCTCGTCGACGCGACCAAAAGCATGGACGATGCGGGATGGAGTCGTTGTGGACGTACCGATGCTGGTGTTAGCGCTGCGGGGCAGGTCGTCGCGTTGTGGGTACGCAGTCGCTGTGTCGATGAGCGCGCATTGCGTGCGCATCCGGACGACACTGAGGCGCAGCCAACCGTTCTTCTTGGCCCTGACGACGAAGAGCTACCGTATGTCGCGACGCTCAATCGACTTCTGCCACCGACCATCCGAATTCAGGCATGGTCGCCTGTTCGTCCTTCCTTTTCTGCACGCTTTGACTGTGTCTATCGTCACTACAAGTACTTTTTCACGCTGGGCGCGCCACATACCCTTGCATGGCAGCCAGAGAGCGCGTCGCATTTCCAGGGACGCTTGGACGTAGAGCGCATGCGCGATGCGGCGGCTCGCTTGGTCGGCGAGCACGATTTCCGTAATCTGTGCAAGGTCGATGCGTCCAAGCAAATCACCAACTTTGTGCGCCGCATTGACGGCGCGACGATCGATCGTGTGGCTACAGGCTGGCGTACCGAACGTTCTGAGTTGCCGGAGATCAAGGCGGTGGACGAGCCTATATATGTGCTCAATCTACGTGGCTCTGCGTTCCTGTACCACCAAGTCCGAAATATCATGGCCGTGCTCTTCATGGTCGGTGCTGGCCTTGAAGAGCCAAGCATTGTCGATGCGTTGGTCAACGTACACACGGGCGCGGCAGCAGCTGATCGTATCCGGGCCCATGAATGGATCCAGGCGTTAGGTGATGCCTCGCATGCTCATACCCCTGACAAGCAGCGTATGCAGGCGTTGCCACCGTTGCCCGAGGACCTGCCTGTGATCGCGACCAAGCCAAGCTATGAGATGGCCGCGGACCGGCCGCTGATGCTATGGGAGTGTGGATTCCGTCCCGACCACCTTCAATGGCGGGCCAGTGCATATGCGGGGCCCATGCCGCCGTCCTCGGACGTACGTATCGACTATTCGCCTGGTGTGCGTGCTTCGGCGCAGTTGCATGCGATGTGGATGCGAGAGACCATTCATGCGGAGATGACGCGCCACTTTGTGCTCGCAAGCGGCTCCGCCGAAGCCACCGCGCTGCCCACGCAGACTTCGTTTGATGAAGCACGTACGCCTTTCCTGCCTACGCCTACCTCTGCCGAACACATCGCGCAGCGGGCTCATCTTGTGCCGCTCGGCAATGGCGCTGTACGGCCGACTACGCGCTACACGGCGCTAGTCTCACGTCCCCGCGACGTGTCTGCAGAAGAAAAGAACAAGAAATGGCGCGAAGGCAAAGGACAACGACGCGCCGAGCGCCGAGCGGCCGCGGCGCCTGGCTCTGCTTCCATAACCTCTTCGTAGCCACACGGCGTGCAGGCTCGCTGACTCAGCAGCGCGCCCCTTCGTGTATCGCAGCCGCCCCAGGTACCTACACCTATACCTCCACCACGGTGGCGCCACTCTGCTTGGGAGCATGACAGCAGCTCCGCCTGAGCGTGCTGGCTCCGAGACGTCGCTTCGGCGACCCATGTCTTTCTCTGACAAGGCCCTTGCGGCGATTTCCGGGTCTGTCTCTACCTCTTTGCTTAGTACGTACTTGATGTGCTTACCGCCAGTGACGCCCTTGGATGTCATCAAGACCCGTCTGCAAACGCAGTCGGCGGAGCAAGCGCAAGCTGCCTCGTATACCATCCGGAATGCCAACTTGGGCCCTGTGCGTGGCCCACCCTGCCCAAAGCATGCGACGGTGCCGCATCAGGTAGCAGGTTCGTCGATGTCTCTCACATGGGTACGCCCCATGCAGGCGTACACCATGCCCTATGCCATGGGCGAGTCAGCCGTCTGTATATACCCCAGCAAGTGCAGCATGGCCGAAGTGTGTGAGGCACAGGTGATTCTGCAAGAAGGGCGGATGACTGGGATCTTGGATGGGTTTGTAAAGATTGCCCGTGTTGAAGGCTGGCGAAGTTTGTGGCGTGGCTTGCTGCCTACCCTTGCGATGACCGTCCCATCCCAGGTGACATACATGTCCTGCTACGATGTCTTCCGACAATGGCTCCTTCGTGCCGAGCTGCGTGTGCCTGTGTGGTCCACGACACCGTCGTCCCGCTCTACGATTCAATTCACACCGACCCATATCCCGCTCCTGGCCGTCTCGTTGATGAGCGGTGCGATGGCGCGTGCCATCGCCGTCACCATAGTCACGCCCTTGGAATTGCTACGCACACGGCTTCAAGCATCCCATGCTCGTGCATCGCCTGTGTCCTCGGTCATTAAGCCCCTCTTTCATGAAGTGAAGCAGCGTGGCATTACTGTTTTATGGCGCGGCCTGAATGCCACGCTATGGCGCGACGTCCCCTTCTCTGCTATCTATTTCACAGGCTACGAGGGCGGAAAGGTGCTACTGACCGGCAGCGGCTTTGGCGAGAACAAAGCCTCGACGTTCTGGCACGAGTTCGGCACGTCGTTCCTGGCCGGCGCTGTCAGTGGCTGTGCCGCGGCTGTGGCGACGCATCCCTTTGACCTGATCAAAACGCGCTTGCAAGCGGACCATGGATCGGCCATGTCACCTGCACCCTCGCTCACAGAGGCATGGCGTGATATCGTCCGATCAGATGGCCTAGCTGGCCTTTTCCGCGGCTTGTCGCCTCGTCTCGCGAAAGCAGCGCCTGCATGTGGTGTGATGATCGGCTCCTTCGAGGTTGTGAGTCGGCTGCTCACGAGCTCGCATGCCTAACGCGTATCTATCCACACCGCGGTCTATACCCTGATGTCGTTGCTTTATCTATAGGCTCTCATTATCACAATCCAAGAACTAACATAATCACGTAACCAAGCGTCGCGATGATCATCGTCGCAATGATACTCGCAGGGATGCCAACACGCAAGAACGTCTTCACAGTGACGTACTTGTGGCCCACCTCGTCTTCCAAGTTGATCGCTGTCATGTTCGGGAAGCCACTGATCGGCAACCCCATCGCTGCACTCGAGACCAGCGCCGTGGCCATGATCAGCAGACGTGGATGGGGCTCGCTGAGACTCTCGCCCATCTGCGCTGCAATCGGGACTAAGAGGACCGCCGCAATCGTGTGTGAAATAAACGTCGCAACGACCAGGCCCACACTGAGCAAAATGACCAGAATCCAAAATAGCGGCAAACCTGTCACGAGGTTTTGCACCAACGCATCCAAGTTCTTCAGCAAGCCACTCGAGGCCACGCCCTTTCCGAGCGCTATACCGCCCATAGCCAGGAACACAATCGTCCACAAAAAGTTGTTGAAATCTTCCTTGGTCAAAATACCCGTACCAAAGAAGAGGACTAGCGGGACCACGGCCGTGACCGCCATATCACCGACGATGCCCTGGATCTGCCGCTGGAAACACCAAAGGACAATCGTCCCGATACACACCGCCGAAATGAACCACTGCTTGCGCGTGAACGGCTCGTTGGTCTCAGGCAATCGCTTGATCGTCACCCCACGGCCAGTGCCAAAGGTCCACAGAAGCAGCAGCCACAACGCCATAAGCGTAATGCCACTCACAGGAATCGTAATGGCGAACCACTGCAGCCAGCCCAAAGGCTCCGGCATGTACTGCAGGGCAATGAGGTTCTGGGGCGAGGCAATCGGCGACGTCTGACCACCTACATTCGAAGCCAATGCAATGCCCATCACCATGCTCGCCGCATACGTCGAGCGAGGCGGCAAGTTGCGCAAAATCGGCTGCACCAACGAGAACATCAAGACCGGGGCGGCGACGTTCGAGATCCACATACTCGCAAAGCACGCGACCACCATATGCGCCAGCAACACAAAGCTGGGCCGTGTGCCAGCCAAGTGGAGAACTCGCGTCGCAAGCACTTTGTCGATACCGTACTTGGACAGCGCCGCAGCGAGCGTAAAGCCACCCAGCAGCAGCAGCACATTGGGCGCGAACATTTGCTGGAAAATCCACTTGCTCGCTTCCGGCGCGGTAAGACGCCGTCCCTCGCCCTCGCCTTCTCGCGCGACACGCAGCGTGACGATGAGCAGCGGCACCAGCAGCGACGTGACAAAGAGCTCCACGACTTCTGTGACCCAGAAGCATGTGCACAGTACCAGCATGGCAAAGCAGTTCTGCACTTCCACTTCCTCAAAGATACGTAGCGCAGGAAGTTTGAGCAGCAGCACAAACACCAGCAGCGAGAAGAACATCTGCACCGTCCCCATGGTCATAAACGGTGGCAGAACAATGTTGCCGAAGGGCGTGTGTACGACTGTCGGCTCCTTGGGCTCCTCATCCAACAGGTTGGTCGCACCCGCGCCCATAATACCCTTTTCTAACGAGGCAGCTTGAGCTCGACGCTCAATGTTGATCATCTCACGCCACACCGTGTTGCGGTGCCACACCACCTCTTCACGCAATTGCATACGTAGCTGCTGGTGTGCTAACTCGACATCATTGTGTGTGGCCACATGAGCATACATGTCGACGACCAATTTTACCTGGTCGCTCAGCAACTGGTTGGCTTGCGGCTGGAACGGGTACTTGACCTTGACGACCTCTTCCAGATAACGGTCCTTCAGATTACGTCCCGTAATTTTGTCGTACTTTTTCAAAATCTTCTTCATACCTGTCAGGTTGAGATTCGCATACTGCAGCAGCTCGTTCAAGGTAATGTAAATCTCCATCAGCTTGCGCTTCAATGTAATGCGCATATCGATCGCATAGTCGTCTTGAGCACTCCACACATTGGGAGCGAGGCCATCGTCTTGCTGACTCCCCTCTTCGCCGCCGGATATACCACCAAAGCCCGAGCTGCCTGGGCTCTGCGACATTTGGCGGCGTGCTCTGTGGAACGACCCTCGTCGTCCAAATGTGTTGATCCATCGCTTGTGCACCGGCAAGGGATCTCCTTTCCCTTGATTCACATTCGAACTCGTCTCTGTGTCGCTGATGGAAGTGTGAGACATACGGCGCTTCGGGTGGTACCAAGCGGGCGCTCGCCATTGCGGGTTCAGGTGCGTTTGGGGCCCACTGGCCTCATCCCCTTCTTCGCCATTGGATACATCCGCATCCAGCTCATCGCCTGAGCCCACATCGTACTCTTCTTCGGCGAGTTGGATATGCTCCTGCACCATGCGGACTTCCGTACACAGGTCCCTTTCCTTCTCGCAATAAAAGTCCACAATCTTTCGCAGCTCCTTGTCCAAGTGAGGAATAAACTGACGATCAAAGTCAGACGGATCCGACTGCAAGAGCGTCTCAGACTCATTTTCTAAGTGTCCTGGAGCATGCAAAATACCTTGCTCCGGATCATTCGCAGCATACTGTGCTCGTTCGAGCGAGTAAACAATTTTCTTCAGGTGCTGATAACTATACCGTTAGCTCTCCACGCAACACATACTTGATATAGTGGTCCACCCAGTCAGGGACACTATTCAGCTGTAAGCTGTGAGAGACTGAAACATGAGTTCTCGCACAAGTCCAACATACACTTCATCTCCCCGAATCACTACGATCGCCTCGGGTTGATGCGCCGTGCGCCGAGGATCGTGGACCTGGCGTGCACGCGTGCACGCAGCCTGCATATCATCACGTGCGTGTGCCTACCCACCAACGGCTGTGTGAATCCCCACCGTCCGTGCGACAACGATATTATGGAGGCCATCAAGTTGCAGAGAAAGTATCCGGAATTGTATGTATGGCGCACGCACTGATGAAAAGCTCCCAAGAGGAGATGATGGCTATGATTGCCAAATTCAAGCAAATTGATGTAGACGACCGAGGAAGCCTGGACCGCCAGGTGGTTGTCAAAGAAGTTCAACAGCTTGAAAATGCATCCTATGACCAGGTGCGAGAGACGCTGAAGGATGTAAGCCTTGACGCCAGTGGCCGTGTAGAGCTGGAAGATTATGTGGATGTATGTATACGTGATCTCATTAACGTCAGCTCGTGTCTCGCATTCGCAAGGGTAGCAACGCTCAGGCTGGTGTGGTTTCCAAGGGCAAAGTCACTGTGAAGGGAAGCAATGCATCGACGCAACACACTATCAATGAAGATGAACGCACCGAATTCACTCGTCACATTAATATGAGCTTGGATGGAGATATGCACATTGGGTCTCGTCTCCCCGTCCCTACTGATACATTCCAGTTGTTTGACGAATGCCGTGATGGCTTGCTCCTTTGCAAACTCATCAACAGTGCTGTGCCAGACACCATCGATGAACGTGTGCTGAATGTAGGCAAGGCTGGCAAGGGGCCCAACGCTTTTCAGATGACGGAAAACAATAACATTGTCATCCAATCAGCCAAGGCCATTGGATGCAGCGTAGTGAACATCGGTGCGCAGGATATCACCGACGGTCGTGAGCATCTTATCCTTGGCCTAATCTGGCAGATTGTTCGGCGCGGTCTGCTCAGCAAAATTGACTTGACGCACCATCCTGAGCTGTACCGCCTGTTGGAAGAGGATGAAACGCTGGAAGCGTTCCTCAAACTGCCGCCGGACCAAATCTTGTTGCGTTGGTTCAACTACCATTTGAAGTCTGCGAACTGGAACCGTCGCGTATTTAACTTTTCTAAGGATGTCGCCGACGGTGAAAATTACACTATTCTCCTCTCCCAGATCAAGCCGGATGTTTGCGATCGCGCACCTTTGAAGGAACAAGATTTGATGACACGTGCAGAAATGGTACTGCAGCGCGCTGATGCAATCGGTTGCCGCAAGTACCTTACCCCTGGCTCCATGATCTCTGGCAACCCGAAATTGAACTTGGCGTTTGTGGCACACCTCTTCAACACCTGGCCTAGCTTGGAGCCTCTCGAAGAGGCGCCACCAATGGAGGTGGAAGAGTTCGATGCTGAAGGCGAGCGTGAAGCTCGCGTATTCACGCTTTGGCTCAACAGTCTTGACGTGCAGCCTGGCGTGTACAATCTGTTCGAAGACGTCAAGGACGGCAATATTCTATTGCAAGCCTTCGATAAGGTTCTTCCAGGCTCTGTCACATGGAAGAGGGTCTCAAAGCCGAGAGAAAATATGCCGCTTTCACGCTTTAAAATGGTCGAGAACACCAACTACGTGATTGATCTAGCCAAGGCGAATCATATGCACATCGTTGGTATCCAGGGCGCTGATATCACAGATGGTGCGAAGACATTGATTCTTGGTATCGTTTGGCAGATTATGCGTGTGAATGTTACGACTACCTTGCAAGGGCTTGGCAAGAGTGGCAAGTCTGTGTCAGACACGGAGATCCTCAACTGGGCAAATGCTCGTGTCAAAGCTGCTGGCAAGTCGTCTTCTATTCGTTCCTTCCGTGATCCATCTCTGTCCAATGCCAAATTTTTGCTGGACCTTCTGGATACTATACGTAAGGGTATTGTGGACTACTCTCTCGTGAAGAACGGTTCGGACGAGGAGGAGTGCAAGTTGAATGCCAAACTGGCTATTAGCATCGCACGCAAACTAGGTGCATTGATTTTCTTGGTACCAGAAGACATTGTGGAGCTACGCCAGCGTCTGATTCTGACGTTTGTGGCCAGTCTAAGTATGTTGAAACTGAGGCGAACTACTAACATGACAGTGTCGTTGGAGAGTACCTTGTAAACGATTTAGCGATATAGGTGTATATACGTGCCGTTACCACCAGAACTTGTCCCGGCTAGCTCAGTCGGTAGAGCGTCAGACTCTTAATAGAGTCTCTTCGGTTACGAAGAGTTATCTGAATGTCGTGGGTTCGAGCCCCACGTTGGGAGCTATTTTTTTTGTCGATTTTTAATTTGAATATCAATAAGCGTGCATTTGTTTACTCGCCATTGCGTATCTTTTACATAGATGCGAGCCCCTTCATTACACACTACGTATCTAATCGTCATCATCAAACGTAATCTTCTTGGCTTTTCCAGGAACAAGTTCATGATAATGATCTTGTGTGTTAGTGAGTATCTTCCCGCTGTACGTACCACCATAGCTTGAATGCGTCTTTCGCTTGATTGTCGTAGGGAAACGATCCATCTCTTTGGGAACAGGTTGGTCGGCATCTTTCAACACACGGATGAGTTCACCCGCATGCGCCTTGTCTTCATCTGTGAAGAATGTCAACGCCTTGCCTGTTTTACCACCACGACCGGTACGGCCAATACGGTGGATATAGTCCTCGATCGTCAGAGGGAACGTATAGTTGATAACATGTTCGACGTTCGGAATGTCCAAGCCACGAGCCGCAACATCTGTGGCTACCAAGAGCGGCGTCTCTGCTGTCTTGAATGCCTCCAGGCTTGCCATACGATCACGCTGACTCAAGTCGCCATGAATTCCTGACACCTGGTAGCCCCAACGACGCAGTGTATTTTCTACACGCTGCGCCTCTTTCTTGTATAGAGCAAAAATAAGGACCTTGTCTTTCGACTTGTGCGCATTGATCTCACGTAGAAAAGCATTCAAACGGCGCTCTTTCGCACGACCATCTTCCAACACTTCCACCGTTTGCGCCACCCGTCGGTTTGCACTAAGCTCATCGCTGCCCACGGTCACACGAACAGGTGAGCGCATAAAAGTCTCTGCAAGACCACGCACAGCTGGGGGCCATGTAGCGCTAAACATATTTGTGTGACGTCCAGCTTCATGCGACTTGGTCATTCCGATGATGGCACGGATATCAGGCTCGAAGCCCTTATCCAACATACGGTCCGCTTCATCCAGCGTCAAGTAGCTAACCTGGCTCAAATCTAGCGAGCCTTCGCGCGCCAAATCCAGCACACGACCTGGTGTGCCAACGGCAATGTGGATAGGAAGCGCATAGTTGTTCATCTCTCGAAGCTGCTCTCCTTTTGGAATACCACCATAGAGACAGAACACACCGTAGCCAAGTGGCTCACATACACGCGCCAAATTGTCTCGTGTCTGAATTGCCAGTTCACGCGTGGGTGCGACCACAAGAACTTGAATAACTCCTTTCTTCTTCTTCTTTTCCGGGTTGGTAATCACGTATTGAAGAGCAGGGATACCGAACGCCAACGTCTTTCCTGAACCCGTTTCGGCCACACCTACAATATCACGACCTTGCAAGAGGACTGGCCAGCAGCATGACTGAATCAATGTAGGCTTTGTGAAGCCTTCTTCGTCAAGACGAGCCTTCAAAGCGGCGTCAATTTTCCCATTCAACTCAGCAAAGGACAGCATCGGCCGGGGGGGCTTGTCATTTGACTCCTCAGGCATCTCAATCGTAATGTTATTTGATTCCATGAATTCACGCGCTTCTTTTGCAGACTAGAGTTAGTGCGACATATACATACCACGCCCGTCGAGGCAGCATCAGAAGGAGATGCAGGACCTTCTGATACCGAGGAAGGCTCTTCCTTCTTGTCCTTCTTCTCTTTTTTCTCCTTCTTGTCCTTCTTCTCTTTCTTGTCCTTCTTTGCTTCCTTGGATTCACTGGACTTCTTTACCTTTTTCTCCAGCTTCTCACTCTTAGATGACTCATGGTCACGCTCCTTACGCTTACTTGCTTTCTCCGATGCACCCATCCTGGCGTATAGGTGTAGGATAGACAACCTGGAGAGGCTGCTTGCGGCTGGTCAAGGCGTCGCCGAAAAAATTTGGCCAGCCATCACGTGCAATTTCATGGTTGACACTTCACGACGGCTCCCCGGCCGCCATGAACATTGCCCTGTCTTCAGATGCCCTGGATGTCTCGTTTCATCCAGGGGAGCAGGTGCATAAGATCGCTGTCGGGCTTATCAGTGGCAAGGTCCAGGTGTTTGATTACTCTGCGATGTTTAACGAGGATGGATCTTGCCAGTCGCCGCCTGAAGGCAAGCGCAAAAGCAAGCTGTACAAGCGGCTTTGGAGCGTTCGGCCCTCGCACAAAAGCTGTCGTGGTGTGGCATTCGATGCATCTGGTGATAAAATCTACTGTATTTTTAAAGACAAGTCTTTACTAGCTCTAGATGCTGCCACCGGGGAGGTCCTGGCGAAGTGGGCCAATGCGCATGAGTACGTCCTTGAATCGTCTAACGAAAATTAGCTCGGCTCCGTCTCGTGTCCTGCCTATTGATGATACCTTGGTTGCAACAGGAGATGATGATGGTATAGTACGGCTATGGGATCCTCGTTCACCGCCCTCGAATGGTGCAGAGGCCAAGCCTTTGCAATCCTATGATCACCACTCCGACTGGATTACCGATATGCTCTGGTGCCCCCATCTAGATGCCCCTAAGGAACGTAAGAAGGAGAAGGATGACTCTGCGAAACGGAAACGTGAGCCAGAGAGCGAGAGGAGTCGCTTGGTAGTGACCAGCGGCGATGGGACGCTGAGTGTGATTGATGTACGCACAGGCAAGAAGGGGGTGGAAGTTAGTGAAGATCAAGAGGATGAACTGCTTTCTATTGCCTCTATTAAAGGGGGCAAGAAGCTGGTCGTGGGTACGCAGCTTGGCATTTTATCGCTTTGGGCTCCTTCGCGTGGTCTTTTAGATCATGTCGACCGCTTCCCTGGGCACCCTGCCAGCGTCGATGCAATTTGCACGTTGGACGATGATACAGTGCTGACTGGCTCTTCAGATGGCCTTATTCGCGTTGTCCAACTGTTCCCTCATGAGCTGCTGGGGATTGTCGGCGATCACGATGGTATGCCTGTGGAGTGTATGAGGCGGAAAGGGAATTTGATTGCGAGTTTGGGTCATGGTAATGAATGTAAACTCACTGATCTCACGTCGCTTCTTGAAGGTGATGATGATGAGATCGATGAGGATGATCCACAAATCATTGACGGCGTTTCGAGTTCACATCTGGCAACGCGTAGTGCGGGAGTGAGTGATAATGAGAGTAGCGACAGCGATGCGCCTCGCGCGACCAAGCGACGCGCCAAAGGGAAGAATGCGATGGCAGCACCTACTGAGCCATCAACACAAGACCATGCAGATTTCTTTGCCGATTTATAGTTTCTATGACACTTATTCGTCGCTGATAGGAACAGACCACGAATGCGGGATCTTGCCCCATTGGATATCCGTGAGCTTCTTCAGCACAGCGCCAGCGACAACGCCAAAGCCGCTCTCTCCGACCGGCACGTTGATATCCTTCCCAAGGAAACCGACACGTTGCACAGGGCTCACGACGACGGCAGTACCAGCCCCGAACATCTCCACCAGGGTACCCTCCTCCGAGGCGTTAATAAGCTCTTGCATATTGATTTCACGCTCGTTGACCTGGATCTTCGGCACACCCTCAAGAGTATCCGAGCCGTTTTCATGGTGGTGCAAGAGCTCCAGAATCGAAGCGCGCGTCACACCCGGCAGAATCATGCCGTTCAACGGGGGTGTCACGACCTCCAAAACACCATCGTCCTTCTTCAATACGACAAACATGTTCATCGTACCGACCTCCGTGAGCCAGTGCTCCTTACCATAGAGCCAGAGGATCTGATCATAACCACGGCCAGCGGCAAGCTTCTGCGGAAGGACAGCAGGGCCATAGTTAGCACCCAGCTTAGCCTCACCAGTGCCACCTGGCCAAGCACGGACGTATTCAGGGTTCGCCTCCAGCGACACAGGCTTGACACCATTGGCATAGTACGGACCGACAGGCGACATAATCACAAAGAGCATAGCCTTGGTTGGCGCAGCTACACCCAGCGACTCCTGCGTACCGATCAACGTAGGTCGGATATACAGCGAATAACCAGGCTCAGACGGCACCCACTCCTGGTCGATCTCTAGCAGCTTCTTCAAGAGCTTGATCAGCTCCTCCCCGTCAAAGTTGGGAAGCGAGATACGCGTCGCACTGCGGTTCATACGCTCCATGTTCTTGTCTGGGCGGAACAAGCGGACCTTGCCGTTAGGGTCCCTGTACGCCTTCAGGCCCTCAAACAACGTAGGGGCATAGTGGAAAATGGTAGCACATGGGGCGAGAGTCAGAGGGCCATAAGGCTTAATCACCGGCTCCTCCCAACCGTGCTCCTTCGTCCAGTTAATCGAAAGCATGTGGTTTGTAAACGTTTTACCGAAGACAAGTTCCTTGGCTGGAGGGCAAGTACGCGGCTCAGGGTTCTCCTCAATCACCAACCGGCTTGCGTCAAGTGGCGAGACTTCCACCTTCTGGCGCTTAGCATCAGGTCCGCTAGAACTACCCATGGCAGCTGAACGTGACATCGTAGAGTACGAGAAAGATTGGGGCGTAATATAACTTAACGGCCGTCGTACTATCGGGCGCACGAAACAGAACTGCAGGAATACGGGGGGTCTCATTGGCTTAAAAACCCTACGGAAGGGGGATTTATATATATTCCATAGGTCCTCAATGAGTCACAAGAACATTATCACCAGTCATGAATTTCTGAATCGCCTCGATCATTTGATGTCCACAGGATGATTTTTGCCCCATGGAGGGCGTTAAAAGGCATTTTAGGGTATCTAAGTGAGTCAGGTCACGGTATGCGAGCAATTCCACTTGTGGCACACCTGCTTTTTGTAGCAATGCCTTGAGTAGTGTGGAATGACTAATAGGTACAAGCGTATCTTGTCCGCCATGAATCAGGAGGAATTTGGGTGGCAGAAACGCCGCGTCAAATGTGGACTCCGTGTGTGTCAAAATATGAGTAGGAGAATGGAGAAGGCACTGCGTAGTTTTAGGCCCTGCCCAACGCCGAAGCACGCTCAGGTGCTCAATGCCCAGCTTCGCTTCATGTAGGTATCCTTTCACCACATCACTCAGGCCAGCTATTAAAATCACACCAGCTAGGTTGGGCAGTCGAATTTGTGGTGCATAAATTTCTAGCTGGCGTAAATAGTTTTCAGTCTTAATACGCGTGGGATTCTCCTCATCGTCCGACTCCTCGTCAACCACCGTCTGGCTTAGCACCGCGGCTTCCTGAACCAATGTCAGTGTTATCAGCGCCGAGGACAGGCCAAAGCCCATAACATATATTCTCGAAGGGTCACCACCATAGCTTGATATATGTGCTCCCACCCAACTCAGCGCTAGGCGTAAATCCACCACAGACTGGCGGATCCGATCGTCCGGATAGTATGTGATCTCAGGAATGACCACACAAAACCCCAAATCTCGCATTCGCAAAGCCAATTGCAAGTAGGTTTGGCGGTGGCTTACAATATTTACAGGGAGAGTAGCCGTAGGTACAAACACAAGCACGGGGTGACCAGTGTTTAGCCCCAGCCCGGCTAAAGGACCTTGTTGGGATAGAATAGTAGTGGCTTTCTTTGGCAGGTAGACATCAAGTCGTTGATGTGAAAATGGGATTGAGTAGACGACCGTATCACTGCTGTTAAATGCCTAGTACGTACCAAATAGGCTTATTCTTAGCGGCCAGTGCCCGAATGCGACGGTACTGCATGTACCAGTCAATAACTACCCAAGTAAAGCCAGACAGCGCCCATGCATACATGAGCGAAGACTTCACGACCTTGAGACAGCGAACGGGCGATAGAGGGATAAAGGGTATATACTTTGCAATGCTGGGTGTGCCAATGACAGCATAGGGTGGTCGGTCTTGTTGTGCAAGTACTAGGTAAATGCACCATGTCAGAGAATATATAGCACCAATAAGAAAGAATGGGATGAAAGGAATTGCTCTGCTGTTAGGAGTACGACACGTACACTAAGCCGATGAAAGGTACTAAAGTTATTAGGGACTTGCATACGTACCAAAACAAGCCACTACAGCTGCTGGGGCGGCGAATATCAATACCATGGCAATAGGTATCATAATGCATAACGACACTATTAGTACAGGTTTATAAAGAGGCTGAAGCGCAGCTGACCCTTTCTTTGGATTTGATATTTTATGTAGTGTCCGCTTTGAGCCTTGATCACTCCATCTCCGTTGCGCCAAACTTCGATCTGTCATGGCCCATCCGTGTCGTACGGCAGCGTTCCGAGATAAGTTGATGGCTTCCCCACACTCCACTCCACATATGACATCATCCTGCATACAGCGATATCAACTAGCGACATGCCCATACACGTGATTTATTATACTTCTACACGTGATCTCACCCTTCCCTGCGCTGGTGTGTTCGATGCTCTGCGACGTATTTCGCCTCACCTTACACCAGCAAGATGGCTCACCAGAACGTGTGGTACTCGCACCCTGTACGTATTGCACTTAGTATACAAGAAAAGCAGATATACTAACACATACAGCGTAACTACGGTAAAGGCTCGCGTCGCTGGTATGTTTCTAATGATAAGGGATTTTGGATCTTCGTCGTGAGACCAAGCATGCAACATTTGGTTAAGGATGCGCCGTCATGACATTACATTCTTGACGCAGATGAACGGCATTACTCGAAGAGTTTATGACTGCTGACCATGACTATCTACTTTTTGTGAGACGTAAGATTTTCTTATTTGTCTTAGGATGTGATGCTTTCGATTCTCTTCCTACAAGGTTACATGCTTTCTCTCGACGAGTTTCGGAAACCCTTTATAACAATGAATCGTGGTACTAACTATTTCAGCCGCGTTTGTGGCAACCAGGGCGGTATTATCCGCAAGTACGGTATGGACATCTGCCGTCAGTGCTTCCGTGAGAAGGCTGCTGACATCGGCTTCACCAAGGTTTGTTTTACCATCTCTTTTCCAGTATGCTAACAGCAAAGTTCCGTTAAAATACCTCGGGCACTTTGTCCTATCGATTGTAAAAGAGACTTAAGGCACTTTTTTTCGGCGTGTCCCTACTCTCTAAAGCAACTGTACCGTAGTCTCGAGCGTATATTCGATGATGCCCCCAAAATGCATTGTGCTTAAAACCTATCTATAATTGATCAGGTCATCTTTGCGGTGGCCTCTTTGATCGGACGAATCCATCCACGCCTGGCCAAGGCACGGACTATACTCGGTGTGATCATTGCTGTCAAGCCTGCTCGGAAGGGGAGAAGGATGGTCTTGTGAATGGCATATGCTAGCACAAATTCGGTTGAAATACGTGCGAACAGCTGTTCCACATCATGAGATTTCTCCGGCTTCTCTTCAACGAACAGCTTCTTTACATAGTTCAAGATTGCGCTTTCTTGCTTCTCTTGGGGGTCCTCCTTCTTCAGTTTCTTCATGATAGGGCCAAGCCACTTGGACAGCAGGGCTTCAAGATCATCCACTTGTTCGCTTGCATAGAAGTGGATGGCAGCAAATGTTGCCATGCAGTCGATGAACGACAGGCCTGTATACACGCCCAATGCCCACCAGCCATAACGCTTCATGGTTGAGCGAAACCGGCCAAAGAAACCTTGTTTTTCCTTTGGTCCCTCTGAATTTCCATTCTCAGAACTCTTATGGGATGAAGCATTTGGTATGTGCGGAGCAGGTTGTCCCGAGCTGGATGAGTATGTTCGTTGCGCAGAGAGAGGAAGGCGATCCATCCTCCCATGGAAAAGTGGTGGTGTTGGCAAGCGGGTTGCACGGGATCCGAGCGTCAAAGGCGCAGCAACTTGGGGTACCATGTTCAAAGGCAAACCCCGAGTCATGAGAGCACGAACCATATTCGGACGTGCCAGCATTTTCGCAGTAGCACGCCGGTGTCAATAGTAGGGACGTATGGTCAATTAAAAGTACACGTGTCCCGGAAGAGAGGGCTCGTGCGTCGCTGACTAACACAGTGTAACATGCACTTTGGAAAAAGTCTTTCTATATAATATCGCAATAGATGTAACTACAGTTACTTAGAGTGATGGAAGGCTACTTCTTTCAAATTTTCCAAATCACCACTTTGCTCACACAGTTGATAGAATGAACTGGATAAGTTGGACAATAGAGAGGCAGGTGAGCCGAATTCGATAACCTTGCCTTGGC